CAGTGGGGATGGTGAGTGGCATTTGCAGGGTTGAGGAAATACTATATTTTCCTCCTATTTGAGCCTCTGCAAACCATCCAGCACTTCTTCCCAGGTCAGAAGGGCCATGCAGGGGTGAGGTCAGGCCTGGGTGGAGAGCAGCCTTCCACTGCCCTGGCCCAGGGACATGCTGGAACCCTTGGCTGCTGGAGGGCTGTTTGTGCTTGCTGTGTCCCCCCACCACTCGCCACCAGAGGGCAGTACTGGCTCACACCTCAGCCTCCCTGGGGTGGCATTTGGGAAGGTCACCTGTGCTTCTCAACACAGCAGACTCAACCACTCCTTATTAACGACTACTTTCTCATGCCCCCTTTTACCATCTCACAATAAAATTAATTGCTAATAAAACTTAGCAAATAATAAATATGATGCCTTAACTCTAATATAAAGGGGACATAAAAGGAAAGGAACTCTATTAATAAACTGTGTTTGTCCATATGTACTGCTTGGGCATGATGACACTGGATGAACACAAAGGAGTAATTGTATGCTTGTGCCCATCAGCAGATCCCTGTGAAAGAATGACAAATGCAGGTGGATGTAGGTATATTGTGTTGGGGACAAATAAACCACGATTTTCTGAAACAGTAAACAACTCTTGGTAAAGTTAAAATGGAATGAAATTGTGTCCCTTTATAAGGTTATTGTATTCTTGGAAATTTCAATATATATTAAAATAATTGCAAAAATTATTTTTATGTATAAAATGGATTTCTGCACTCCTATAATTGATAAACAAGTTTTTCATTTGGTCCTACATGAATGTTCAGCAGGAAGATATTTTTAAAAAATTCATTTTATTTTATTTTACTTTTTTAATAGATTGGGGGGGGGTCTCATTATGTTTCCCATGCTGGCCTTAAACTCCTGGTCTCAGGCAATCCTCCTCTGTAGCTCTGCATCACTTTGCCCAGCTTGAAAACCAGTACTTTTTTCTGAACAACTGCATGAAGTCTAGCATCCTTGGCCCTTGCCCACTGAATGCCAGTACTCACACCTTCACCCCATTCATTGACAGGCATCATTGTGACCACTAAAAATATCCCTATAAATTTCTAGAACTGCCCTTGGAGGAAGTGCCTTCCTCATGAGAACCACTGGCTTTGCTGGCCTCTGGAGGGCTGGCAACAGCTGACTGTAACATGGAGGTGCTGAAGTTTTCCAGATGTCCCTAGGCTGGCCTAGGAGACTATATTGTCTGTGCCTACCTGTCACACTGTCTTGGAGCCACCTGTCTGCCTGTGCAGAGCCCCACTCATGGAGGACAGGCTTCTGTCCTCATTCTCTTTCCGCAGCCTCCAGCACAGCGCCCACGGGGGCCACAAACGAGCCAATATGGGAGCTTTCGTTTCCAGCACGCATGGTGTCAGGTTCTGTCTCCAACTTACCATGACAGCCTCCCAGGGGCTAAACTGCATTTTTGCTCTCTTCTAAGGCAGCTGATAAAATATGAGTCACAAAAGTGTCCTCAACCCCGGAACGACCACTGAACACAGGCCACCTCTCGATAAATCCCACCCAGCCTTACGCCCTCCAGCGTGGGGACAAATCAGTGCTAGGCTGGTTGAATGAAGACGAAGTCGCCAGCTTGCTCTCAGGGGCCTTGTTAGAGAGTATTTATCTCTGCACACGGGAATCATTCTTAGGTGTAAGGTATGCGGGGCCTGGATTCAGGCTGCTGCCTCCCTCACGGAGACTTTCCCACGTGGGGCGGTGGGGAGGTGCCTGTGCCGGCCCCTCCTAACGCACCGTGGGGCATTTGCCAGATGCACTGATTTTTTTTCATTATGATGATGTACATACCGTAAAATTCATCATTTTAAAGGACACTTCAGTGATGTTTAGTATATTTTACTGTGCTGTGCAAATGTCGCTGCTATGTGATTCCAGAACATTTCCGTCACCCCAAAAAGAGACTGTGTGCCCATGAGCAGCCAGTCCCAATTCCCACCTTCCCCTATTCCCTGGCAACCTTCTCATCTATTTCCTGTCTCAGGATTTGCTGGTGGACCTTTCATATAAATGGAATCGCACAGTGTGTGGCCTTTTGGTCTGGCTTCTGTAGCCCAACGAGTTTTCAAGGTTCACCACGTTGTAGCATATGTCAGCACTTTTTATGGCTGAATAATATTCCACCGTGAGGAAATGCCACTGTCAGCTCCCTGCCATTTCCCCTTGTCTCTGCATTCGCTTCACTTGAAGGCCTCACTGCCCTCTTTCTCCTGCTAAACCAGGAGGAACACTCGAGAGGGCAGGGCCCCAGCTTTATTACTGAAACACTGGCATTAAACAGACTATCCTTTTCCTCTGGACAGACCATTTTAGCAAAACCAGCTTCCCCTGTGGTCTGCTGTGCCAACCAGAAAGGGAATTCACCCCACCCCGTTCTTTGGCTCATTCTCCCTGTGATCCCAGCCAAATAAACCAGTCATTCTACATGGGGGTGGGGGGAGTCGGGTGCTCCCCAACCTGTCACCCGCCCAAAGTGCCACTTCAGAGATTGCACGTCATCTGTGGCCCTCTGGAAGTTGTCCAGTGGGTCCTTGCTCAGTCAGAACCAATCCAGCCTTGAACTTCATTGTCACAAGTCTCCCGGAGGCTGCCCTCTGGGTTGGGCTCTGCATAAACTGGGTATCCAGACAGGGCCCTGCTTGCCAGACCCCGCCCTGGGCTTCCTACCCCTGGCTGCGCAGCAAGTCAGCTGTGGAGACTTGAGGCCTGAAATCTGGGCCCGCGCCACCCGCGCCACTTCAGTAGGCTCGGGGGCGGCGGCAAGGCCTCCGTGTTCTAAGTTCCTCTGGGGATTCCAACGCGCGGTTGAGGTGGAGAACCACTGCCTTCCTCTGTTTTTCCTTTTCCTGTTGCCCCGACAGAAGGCCGAGGCCCCGCGTGGCAGTCCAGCTGCGGAGCAGCTGCCGTGCTCCGGCTGCAGTCTTCTGCCAAGGAACGTGCCTTGGCGCCCACGTGGGAGGGGAGCTGGCGGAAGGGGCACAACCGCCTGGGCCGCCTGTCTTTCAGCAGGTCTAAACCCCCATTTTCTTGGCCTTGTCATGTCCTAAGTCCTGTCTTAGGAGGACTGTAGCCTGTGCCAGAGAATGCGAGAAGCCTCATCTTTAACCCCGATGGGAGCCATTTGAGGCCAGGGCTCTGTGCTACACGCCCTCTGACACAGGTCCTGTGACACACGCCCTGTGACCCCGAGGGCCGCCCATGGCAGTTCACGGTCCAGACTCACTAGTGCAAACGGGTTACTGATTCCTACGCCAGCTAGACTCTCACCCAGGTGGAGTATGTTCCTTGGACAACTTCAAGGGCCTGGGCCCTGAGTCTGAGGGTTGACATAAACCAAAGCCAGGCAGGAGGTGCTGCCCATAGCTTGGCAGAGAGGAAAATCCCAGGTTCCACATTTTCTTAGGCAAAGGCCATCCACCCACAAGGGCCCTTTCATTCCGCTAGAACCTACTCCGTTTGCCGCTCCGGAGTCAAAAATGGCATGCCCTTGTTAAAGGAAACGCAGGCAACTGGTCCTAAAACTCACTCTCTGGCCAGAGCTAAGCAGTGTTGCCTGCAGGGTGGCCAGGTCCTATGGCCCTGGGTGGGATAGAGGGATAAAGTGTCTTTCTGGAGCCCAGTGTGGGGAAGGGCTCAAACCAGGCCCACGTCGGCGAGGTTTTGGCCTGCAGGACGGTGCCCTGCCAAGTCACGAGCCCGGAAGGCACCAGCACCTCTCACCTCCGGCCTTGTCACCCAGCCCAGCCGCTGGTGCGCCACTGCCCATTGGAAGGTCTTGTTTCCTGTCTCGGCCATAGGAGAGCTGCTGCTCTTTCTTCACCTGCCCGGTGTGCGGCACCCACAGCTTTTACACAGGAGGGCAGGCAGACATAGCCTAGTCCCACGGGGGGCTTCCCGGACCCCAGGCACCTCTCTGTAAAACGAGGGCTGGACTGGCTCAGCAAGTCCCACACTTCATTCACTCGAGTTCCACCCTCATAATTTCGTATATCCACATCAGGTGCACTTTTAATCTATTTATCTTGACCCCTTTTATTTAAAAATATTTAGTTTTAAAGAAACAATGTCGCTACTTTAAGTGGAAAATGGACACTTGCCTTAAATAGAAGGAAAGGTAGAAACAACACACAACGTCACGTGACTCCGTTGTGGAGAGACCGGGTGTCTGCCGGGGCTCCGAGCCTGCAGCTGCTCTCGCTGTTGAAAAGGGAGCTTGGCTGGTGCTGGACGGAACTGAAGACATTTGCACAAAACAGTCGCTCCCCATGCCACGGGTGGCAGAGTGACAGGGAAAGGTAAGGGGAGCCTCTCGGGTCCCGTGCATCAAATTATTTAATGCTCTGCCTGAGCTCACTGAAACCTGAAATCACACCCTTGTGTGTTCTCGGCAGTGCTGCCGCGCTGCGGGCTGACCGCTGAGGTCTGTCTCCAGCACTCTTCTCAGCACATTCACAGACGGGTGGGAGTAGGCCCTTCTAAAAGGACCTATTTCCATAGCTCCCCTACTTGGAAAACATATTTTTTTACTCTAATTGTTTTCAATCTCTATTCTACCAAAATGAGTCGTTTGATTATATCAAATTTTGTTGACCAGTCTCTACCTTTCACATAGGAATTCTTAACTTTTCTATGTTTGAATTATATCTATCTCACAAGTGCTCGGCAGAGACAGTTCCCACTTTGAGTTGACATAATTTTAGCCGAAAGGCAGGAAACTTGGTATTGCTGTTGGTGAATAGATTTGCATTGGGATGTTTGAGGAACTGGACAAAGTTTTGCTTGTTCTCCCATTACCACCGTTTGGGACTTTAGCGTAAGAGCCACTGCTCTGAACCATAGCTCCAGGACCGAGAGAGGGTTAGGAGGTGCACAGTGTGAAAAGACTTGCTGGTGGAAGCTCATTTTGTACAAATTTCTGCTCCTGAGACCAACTTCCAGGGGATGCCAAGGATTGCCAAGTTTCATTTATTTGTAAAGATACAGGCACGAGCAAGAATGTTCTAAACATGATTTCCATCATTGATTACAGAATTTCCTCTGATCATTTGATTGGGTCACAGATGAATTTAAACTTGACTCTTAAAGTTCCCTCTCCCTTTTCTCTGGATGTGCCAGCACGTGATTCCTAAAAATGCATCAGACAAGTCTATCTTGACACACTAGGGTTTGTTCACCGTGAGAATTTAGAATACAGCAAGGGCCAGGAGACTAGAATAATGTTTGGGATGGGATAGAGATTTATGCCTAATTCTGTCCAGACCATTGCTACAGAATGATTTTCATTTCAGGTTTAGAGTTTCCATTATTGTAGCAATCATCTCTGGAAGGTTTTTGTCCACACTTACTTGGATGAAGTTTTCTGGAGCTGCTGGGGGCTCCAGAGTCTCAAACTGGGACTGCAGTAACTCAGGGGGCATAAAATGTCCTTTTCTTTGGAGTAAGCGTTCAGAGATGACCTCAAACGACCCGCTAAGATGGACCACAAAGAGCGGCACGTCACCGGGCTTCTCTTCCTTTCCCAATTCCTCACTCTTCAGAGCTGCACCCTCTTTTCCTCTTATTAAGATGTCTCTGTACATTTTCTTCAGGGCTGAACAGGCGAGAACCACACACTGTCCTGAGGTTACATCTCTGTTTAAAAAGAAAAAAAAAGGTGGGGGGAGGCTAAAGAATGAAGACTTTAAATTTTAAAACAGCTGGTATCGATTCGAGGGGGAGGACTGCAGCCCTACGTCTCTGCCAGTGGCAGCTGTTAGAAGATTCTGGTTAAGCATCAGGCAGTCCTGCCTGTGAGTTAAGGATCTTCCACTTGTGCGAACTGAGCAAACTTGGGCAAATGTGTTCACCTCCCTGGGCATCGAGTTTATCATCTGGTAAGTAGGGCTGCCCTTAGCGCTGTCCTACAGAAAAACTTGATGGAGATGCCTGGTATATACAGAGTGCTCAGTAAGTGTTGCTTTTGCTCCTATGGGTGCCGGTTGTGGCCGAGCCTCAGTGTGTGGACACGGGCCGCCAGCAGGCACCTGCGCCATGCACACAGCTCGGCTCGGGCCCCCTGCAGGTTGTTCAGTGATTTGCATTCTACAGCCAGCTCCTCCGGCTCCTGCTCTACAATGTGGCGGGAAGGTCTGGGGGAGCTGCCAGTTCAGAGCTGGAGATGGCAGGAGAGGAGGGAGCACAGACTTGTCATTTTTTTTTTTTGACAGTGTTTTAAAATTTTATTTCAAAAGTACCTATGGTATTGGTTCCTTAATCTAGACTAGTTGGAGGTTATAAAATGTCATCAAAATTTCTGACCACTTGGCCATAAATGGGAATTTACCTCTTTAACAGTTAACAGTCCATTTTTGGAAAATGCTTAATATGTTTATAAAGTACTTTTTAGATTATAAAGCACTGCTACAAACAATATTTCATTTGATCCTTAACATTTCTGGTAAAGTAGGTAGAGTATTTATTATTATTTTACTGACGAGGACATAGGTGCAAAGAAGTTGTACATCTGGTCTTCAGGCACGGTGACGCGGAGAATCATGACTCAAAGCGAGCAGTCTTCTAGCGACTGCAACATGCCATTCTCCTTTAAGTTCTATGCAGATTTGATTTTTTTTCTTTACCAGATTCTAATGGATGTCTGAGGGATGAGGATGTTTACAATATGGGATCTGGCAGATAGGAAAAACAGCTAGTCTCGAGGTGATAAAAACCATGGTAAACATAATAAACAGGAGATCACACATTTTCTGAAACCTGGCATAATTTGCCATTTTGACAGCCTCTAGAAGAGTATTAGCTGAATCATGAAGACAAAGGACCAGGGTCCTTGCTCGGGCCATATTGCTGACATCTGAAAAGCTAATCAAGGAAACAGCTATAATGTGGTGCAGGAACGTAATGCCCAAGTCCTTTCTTTTGATACCAGTGAACTGGGAAAACATTAGAGACCAATAAAATGACAGCTCCAGGATGTAATGGTAGTGAAGGTCATTTGTGAGTGCCTGATAGGGGTAGCTGTACCAGCAGTGCTTTGTATTCCAGAACTAGGGAGTCTTTTTCAGGAATCGGACTCCATAGAGACAGTCTGTGAGGGCCAGGTCAGCAAGATGTGAGAAGTTTCCAGGGATGCTCTAAGGAAAAAACTGAGCCAGAATCAGAGGCAACAGGACACAGCACCGGTAGGTGAGCCCCGGCTTCCAGCCAGCCAGCCGCCGTGCGGGGGGCAGTCATCCTGGGGCCAGGATGGGACCTCTTGACTCCACTCCAGTCAGGAGGTGGGGTGCAAACGCTGGCTTGGGTGTAGAAAGTTCTCTTCAGAAATGAGAGTTCTGAAGCCCTCCCCTTTTTTGCAGCCAACAAATGGTGTTAGCAAATATAAAAATACTAATAGAGTAACAATAATATATCCACTCACAAGAAGTTTATAGTCAAATTGGGCAGATGAAACAGACTTAACTGCAGAAAGAAGAAAAAAGTCATCGTGAAAATAAAATTCTACTTTATATAGGGAAGAACGTAAAAAAAAGCAGTTCTGCTCTTTCAAATGACTCAGAAAAATGACGAACGATATAACCAAAAAGTGGACAAAGGATAGCAATGGACAATGGACAGAATACGATATCCAAATGGGCAATACACATGAAAAGGTGCTCAGCCCCACTGGGAATCATGGGAATGCAATTAAAACAAGTTACTGTTCTCATGCATCACACTGATAAATATTAAATATTTCAGAGCTTGACGACAGTCATTGTGGGCGAGGACAGGAGGAAACAGGTCCCCTCCTGACAATGCTGGTCGGAGCAGGCCACGGTAAAGACTTGGGGGGCTGACGTGAGGGGTCTCCCTCTGATCTCAGGGCCAGGTGGCACTGGAGACCCCATGCTGCAGTGTTTCCTGGGAAACAAACTTCCGTGCTGAGCTCCGGCTCCTCCTGAGGGCCGTGGCAAGAGCGTGTTTGTTCCGGCCTGCAGGTCTGGTTCTTGCGCTCTGGAGGGTCCTCACTGCTGTTTCCATTTCAGGTCAGTGAGTCTGTTTGTGCTGGGGACCCTGCGGGCAGGAGTTCTCAAACCCTAACCCCTTAAGTCAAACCCCTAAGCCGACACAGTGGGGCTGCCAGCCGTGTGGATGGGTGTGCAAAATGCAAACTGAATTTGTAGTGAAGTATATGCTAACTTCACAGGGCCCAGGTGGTTTTAAGTTGATAAAACATGACATCATCTTAGGAAGCAAGATTTGTAAACCATTCCCACCCAAGCCCTGCCTTTTCTTCATCCTCCTTCACGTCCCAACCAGTGGGGACAGGCTGATAACTCAGGGGACCATGTTTGCTCAGAGGCCTGCCACAGAGCTGGGCCATGTGGGACTCCAGTCTTGGTGGCTAATTATCTGCTGTCCTAGAAACAACCTCAGGTCTTCCTCCCAGGCCACAGCTTGAAGCAAGGGGAAGAAAGAGTGGTGGCTGAGACAGGCAGTAACAGAGGTGGCATCAGTTAACATTGTTTGAGCTCCTACTATGCATTAGATACTGTTCTAAGGGTTACCCACACACCATCTCACTTATTCCTCACAATAATCTGTAAGTAGAAACTACATTTTTACTGATGAAGAAACACGCTTACGGGAATTAAGTGGCTCATCAAAATTCCCAGCTAGTAATCATGGAACTGTCTAGAAGGTTTGTCTTCAGAGCCCAACTGAACTACATGCTGCCCGTGGCTGGCTAAAGTCTTTGCTCGTTACTTGACAGAAGTGCATTCGATTTATAGGATCCTTTACCATCCGTTAGTTGTGATTTCAAGAGTGTATTTTTTTTTTCCTGTACTTTCTGATGGGTTCTCTTCACTGGCTGACTTATGCCAAGGCCCGATGGTCTCTTACCTTAGTAAAATGTCATGCAAATTGCAGAGCCATGGAATCCTGTCCTGAAATCAAAGCAGACACAAAGTGGCTTTTCCAGGTATTGTCTGTTTGCAGAGAAACACAGTTATATCATGTTCACCAATGTTAAGGTCCGGGTTAGTGGTGTTGGGAAGGAGGCCACACACACAGCAGAGGTGCCAGTCCCTCCGCAGTTAACCCCAGAAACGGTTTCTTGGTTCAGGTGTTAGTGGCTGTTTCCATAATAATAAAAGCTGCCCTAAAGTACCAGCATGTATCTCTCCCTGTCTTAACCTCCCCATTATATGTGCATTTTCCCTGCTTCTGACATGTTTACAAACCTTTTATTGTGTTGCATGGATTCTTTAGGTGCCTCTGATGGCAAATGCAGACGGGTATTCACATGAACCCCTATGTCAGCTGTCCCCAGGTCCTAGTCCTCAAACCCTCCAAAAACCAAACTCCCCTCAGATAAAAGCTTTGTAAGAAATGTCTATGTTTGCCAAAGAGAAGACAGAAGAGGTTTACACAGCACACCCTACAGTGTTTCACGAAGCAATCTCTCTGAGACATGTTCTCTCCTTCTTCCTGGGGTAAATCCTAATTATTGGCCACATTGAAATGCATTGAAATACAAAAACAAAACACTGTTTATTATGGACAATTTAAAACACACTCAAAAGCAGACAAAATAGTATAAAATACACCTCCACACGTACCATTCATAGAGGTTTTAGAGCTTCAGTAATTTTCAACCCACAATTAGTTTTGTTTTATATATGCCCCCAACGACACCCCCACTGTGGCTCCCACTGTTTCACCAGAAATCCCTTAGGACAGTGGTCCCCAACCTTTTTTTGCATCAAGGATGGTTTTCATGGAAGATAATTTTCCCACGGACTGGGGAGGTGGGGGATGGTTTGGGATGATTCAAGCACATTACATTTAGTGTGCACTTTATTTCTATTGTTATTACATTGTGACATGTAACGCAATAACTGTACAACTCACCATAGGTTGGGGACCCCTGCCTTAGGAGACCAAATGTAATAGCTACAAAAGTCACGCAAGGTAGAGATCAAATGACAACAGCCGCACGATTTAGACACATTTTATCCTAAATGACAATAGCTACATAATTCACACAAGTGATTACTCAAATTATGTTAGCACTTGTCTGAATGCATTTAATGGAACAAGTGTGGTTTTTTGTAAATGCAGTAACAAGATGATGAGGCTTAGCAGCTCCCTATTTGCAGACCACAAAGAAATCTGTTATTGAAATTAGAATACCTAGGGGCATTTTATGTGCTCTTGAAGAAGAGCATATATGTATAACGTTTATTAGTGCAAAGGTTTTCTAGGACATCCTACTCAGACACTAGCTGTTCTGGACAATCTGTGAAGAGAAAACAAGTTGGAGGGGCTATGTTTATGCAACTTGAAACTGCTACTGCCACGTAGTGTTTCCTAGGCTATGGCAGGGAACAGGGAAGAAGGGTGTCTAGGATTCCAGGTAGCAGGGACAAGTAGCTGGATTGACTGAGATGTGTAGTATTTTTTGGAAAAATTAGCCTAAGGAGAAGCTACCAATTCAAGCACAGATCTGCATTTTCACTTTCTTTTTCCATTTATAAGTGCGTGTTGCGTGCTTGGGGAGGCCCACATGCTCATCTGAGCACTTTTGATTCAACACCCTAGATGTGATCACTCTGCATTGAAGCAGCTTCTAAGGTACCATTTCAACTCATCTTTCTAAATTCCTTTCTTTCTTGTATTCCCCTTGTAATTAGCCAAACTTTTCTCCCACATTCATGCACTAATGGAAATGGGAAAGATAATATTGTTATCTATAAGCTTACTTTTATTTTCCCCCCTAACTTCTTGGATATATTTTCTAAAACAGCTCCTCTAACAGAAGGCTGTAATGGAAGAGGGTGGCTGGGCCTTGAAGCCTCACATGTCAGCAGGAAAGTTCTATTTCCTGCCCTGGGGTTCAATCCTATAAAGTGGTGGCACCTACAGGCCTGTAGGAAGGGAAGCCCCAGCCACTTACTTGGTAATGTGGTGTAATAAGCATTAAGGGGGCCGATTTCTAACCCCAGAGTGTGTTTTACATGGAAATGGGGGCGTCTGGCTTTGAATCACACAAGCGATTCGATAAAGCTAATGAGTCAAAAGACATTATCTTGTTATAGCTACAGCGAGGTACCTTCCTAAGGAAGGAAGGAACCTCGCTGTAGGTACCTTATTTATCTCCTTTATTTCCTTCCTAAGGAAATAAAGGAGATAAAATTGTTCTCTAAGGCTTAAATTTAAAGATCAACAGTTAATGGAACGGATTGTACCTGTACAAGGTCATGTGAAGGAGCAAGAATGACTCCCAGGTGAGCACGGCATCACTATGACCCGACCAAGTACTTTACACACAAAGGCCCAGGGAGGCTGGCAGGCAGGAAGCCCAGAGCACAGTGCCTTAGTCTGAAATGGTGAAGGGCTGCCCTAAGACACTTGGAGCCTTGGCCATTGGCCTTCGAACATCATGTTCTCATTAACAAATCTCTTCCTACTAATGGGATGGATGGATGGTCTCGACCATTAGAAACTTTGGCCCTAACTCTCCCATGTCTACTAAGAAACCTTCTGATTGTAGCTGGTTTCTGGAAATGTGTGCATCACATTGATGCGGGTGTTATGGGCCCAGTTATATTTCTCTTCGTGAATTAATCAACTGGCAGTTGGGTTTATCCAGCAACCTTGTACACCTGATTGGGGGTGTCTCACATGAGGGATGAACTCATGTTCAGGGTGCTGACAATCTCAAGGGGGTTGGTAGGGCAGAGAGAGCCAGCGCTGGGGTCCTGCCTGGGTGGTCGGCCAGCCTTCCCCACAATGAACCCCTGGCATTGTACAAGCCTCTCAGTGAAACTTCACTTAAAGTCCTGAGACCAGTGCTGTGGGCTGCTGGTCTTCATTCAGCAAGAAGAAAGTTCGGGTTAGAAGAGCAGATGGTTAGAAGGTTCCGAGGACTGAATGCTAATTTACATATAGCATAGTATACCATACCTACTTAGAATTCAAGGGGCAATTCTAACCATGAATTAGGACTGTCTCTGAGATGAATAGACAACAAAAAAAATAATTATTTTTGGCGTAAGTGTTCATAACAGGTTTTGGATGAACCAAGGAGGGAGGAAAATTTGTTTAAGTGTCCATACTTCTCTCCTCCCATTAGCAGGACAGACTTGTGTTTTGTTCTTTTCCTCGGATTGTATTTTTCCTCTGTGCCATCTGCACAAATGTTTCTATTTGTTTGTGCTGTGGAAATGGAGATCAACCTCTATTATTTTATGGCTTAGGAAGCAAATACATAACTTCATTAAGCTGAGTGCTGACTATATTATTATGTTTTCCATGTGCCTAAAATATTTCATAATAAGAATGAAAAAAACAAATTAAACACAACAGAGAACATGTTTGGGTAGTAAGTTTTCTAGCTTGTGTACAAAGAAATAGAGCTTTACTTTGAATCCATGCTTTTTTATTGTTTTAATAGTGCCTTAATATATGCTTTAGTCAATAACAAAGCATGTTGCTTCATTTAATCATAATAACATTTAACAAAAATTGCTGCTTTCAGACTTTTGCCCTATCAGAATTTATGGCAGACCACACTAATGATCGTGCACTGCTAAGGACTGTGCACCTCCGTCACAAAAACAACGAGAGAAAGTTGGGGATAAAAGAGAAGCCCTTTGGACTTTATTTCTGAGATTTCCACAGTGAGTCATAATTAAATGATTAGGATCTTTCCTTGGAGGATCCCATGAGGCCACAGGGAAAAGGGTTTTTCCAAAGCAGCTGCAGTATGGAAATCAGAATTCTCACTCTTGACCTGCTTCAAGCCAGAACACCCTTCAGTTCAAATCAGTGCCTTGAACACCCTAACGCTTATGCCCTTTCCACGCAGGTGCTTGTGGGGAACTGCCACGCTCATTCCTGCTCTGACCCTTTTCTCTCCAATTAACCAACCCTGATTCACTTCTTGTGAGTCGTTTGTTCGGTGGACTAGCAGGACCTTTAACATAGCAGGAAAAGTATCACCTTTGAGGTTAGAAAGACTCCTCTCACTGTGTGGCTTTGCTCAAGTTACTTAACTTCTCTGTGCCTCTCTTTGTTCATCTGTAAAATGGGGATCATATAAAATGTATTGAGCTGCTTTGGGATTTAAATAAGGAATAAACTCCACTTTAAACATTATTTTTGGCTGATTTATTAATAATAGCTGACAAAAACAGTATTATTTCCTACTTGGAATTTTTAAAAGGGTTTTAGTTGATGAATTTGGTAGATCGTGAGCTTTAATACCAGAAACACCGAATACTAATATGTGCAAAGCACCATATTGAGCATTGGGATACAAATATGAATGATGTGGTTCCTTTCCTCAAAGGGATCACAGCTTGCTGGAAGAGACAGAGGAGCAGATGATCAATTAGATCACCTGGAGGGCAGTGATGAGGGATGTGCAAGATTTATTATACTGAGAAGAGCAATAAGGAATACGAGGGCTGTCTAGAAGTATCCAGCCATGTAACTGTTCTCATTGTATTAAGAATGGCTGGATACTTTCCGGACAGGCCTCATATAGGGGGAGAGGCCAATTTTAATCAGGCCTTGGGAGGATTAAAGAGCATTTCAACTGAGGAAGGGCCTGCCAAGCAGAGGGAAGGGATAATCCAAGACTGGGAGCATCACAGCTCATACATGGAGACAAGGAGTAAACAGAAGAGGCAGGTACTTAGTGCTGATGAACAGGAGCTGTAGGAGCTGACGATATGTAGGGACATTGTCAGGATGAGACGGTCAAGACCTTCAGAGACCTGCTAAGGAGTTGGGGACCTTACTATGAGGGTATGAGGAAGGACTTGGACGTATGAGCTTCACATTTGGTTTCATAATATTCATGAAGAAAGGGAATGATGGAGATCTCTTTACGGATGAAGAAACTGGGACACAGAGAAGATATCAGAGCAAATTCACTGAGCGCTGTGCCTCCCAAATAGGTACTGTGGAAGATATGATAAATTGTGAAAGTCAAATACACACACAAGTCATTGGGGAAAGACAGGAGAAAACAGCCCAAATAGGTATCTCTGCCTCTGGCTCTGATGTTCAAGGTCGTCTAACTTTGACAGTCCTACATGCAAGGGTGTTGGTGTTGGGGGGTGGTCGCCACCCCCAGCCCAGTGCGTGGAGGTGAGCACAGTTAGTGAATAAACATTCTACCAAGAGTTAAATCAGAACAGAGGAAGCTGCCCTGCCTATGGTTTCGGTGCTCTGATGGAAACATCTAGAGAAATAAAGGGAGAAGAGAGGAACAGATGGTAGTGGACTGTGTCTAGCAGTTGGGGCAGGCAGAGAGAGGGGAAGGGGAAGGCAGGAGTGGTGGGGAGAAGGGAAGGGGACTTGGTTTTACCTGGTGCAAAAATTAATTTAAGCAGAGAGAGGAATGCATGCAGGAGGAATATATATACCCTTCCCTCACCTCCCACCCCCCCCCAAAAAAAGGAAGAAAAACTCCAAAATTCAATTAGTTGATATTTTTGGAAGATGAGAACAAGGATGATATATTCTGTGAAAAAAATTCTCAATACTTTCCAGATGTTCTATGCAGGGCAAATATTACATTTATAATTAGGAGAATTTTTTTTTTAAAGCCTTTCTTTTTTAAACAGACTTTGAATCTACTCAGGGGTCCCTGCAGGCTCAGGTGGGGCAGTGTGGCCCTCACACAGGGGAGACTCACTGACCATAGCTTTGAAATTCTTTGACATCATCATGTTAATGATTTATCACAGTCTGTGCGGAATAGCTTCTAGACTGGTGCTGTCTGTCTGAAGAGCTTTCTGCAACAAAGGAAATTTCTACAGCTGTGCTGTCCAATATGGTAGCCACCAGCCACACGTGACTATTGAGTTTTTAAAAATGTGGCTGGTGCAACCCAAGAACTGAATTTTACATATTATTTAACTTTAATTAGTTTACATTTAAATAGCCTTACAGAGCCATTGATATGTTCAGCTCAGATCTCAGCCCTGAACCCTCTGGGCACAAAACCCTCCCCAAACTCTTCCCCGACGCAGAATCTGGGCCTCTGCTTGGACACTCTTAACTTAATATCACCAGGGCCCATGGGGGGGGCCAGACTGGGTAACTCACTGAGTTCTTATCAAGAATGCAAACTGTCTACCGTGGTTCTACCTCTTTCTCTCCCTGTGTTAGTGCTCTTTAAGGGCTGGCTAATTGCATAGTTTTTCCTGAAAAGTTTTAGTAAGTAACTCATGTTTCTACCAGTAACCTTTTCTCCTGTCCATGAATTCCTCTTCTGGACTCTACCCCCCAATCTGTACAGCTTGTGAACAAGAGGAAGGCTGCACAAATGCCATTTTAAAATCCATCCATCTGGGTTGCCTTACTTGTTCTTTGACTTACCTTTTATTTGCATTCACTAAAGAGAAAAACAAAATAACACTGGCACAGCGACATTTTATAAACTTTGTAGAAATGGTTTATGTTTTGTACCTGTAAATATATGGTTTATGTTGTGTATTATTATCAATTATAACTTAAAAAGTGGTATTTATTGAATGCTTTGGGTACTTTTCTTCGTACTTTTTTTGTATTATGTCATTTAATCCTCCCGAGAACCCAGTGAAATAGATCCTGTTAGTGGCTCAAGTCCTTCAAGGCAGAACACAGGGAACAGAGTGAGGTAGGGACGGCACCACTGGGGTGAGCAGGGCCGGGGCCACTGAAAGGGAAAACAACAGCGCTGGTCTTTGGCCTGTTCCATCCGTTCCTGCCCTTTGGACACACTTAGAGCATGGACCTAAGCACCCAGAGCAGCCCTCTACCTGCCCCCACAGCCTCTCCTGAGTGACGGCTAGTTCTGCCAGCAAGTCCACAGTTTGGAACTCTGGTTTGAGGGACACGCTCTCGGAGATGTCCCCATGGCTCTGCACACAGGAGGCTGCTACTCGCTCATTCACTCAGAAACATGCCACAGATATTGTGTGCGGGGCCCGGGGCTACAATGGTTAACAGAAACGCCTGTCATCCCTGCCCTTTGGGGGTAAAGTCTAGTGGCAGAGATAAGCATTAATCAGTCTCACACCATCAACAGGGGTACAACAGGGACAAGGGCAACAGCCCGTGAGGGCTTCCCTGAGGAAGTGGAAGAGCTGAGACTTGAAGGATGAGCAGGGCAAACTCGGGGAAAAGGGGAAGAGGGACACAAAGGACAGGACGGGAGGGGAGGAGCTTTATTAGGGGGGAGGGACTGGAAGGGGGCAGGGTGGCTCCCGTGGAGACAGGGAGTGGACATAAGGCCACACACGTTTAGCAGTTTAGGTATTTGGCCTTGACCCTGAGATCAGTGGGAAGCCCCTAAAGGGTCTTAGGAAGGGCAGATGTGGCTAGATTTGGGTTGTCAAAGATCACTCTGGCTGGGTGGATGCCAGGGTGTGGTGGTGGTGGTAGGCTGGTGGGACCTGGAAGAGAAGATGATGAACTTGCCCACGTACGAGGCATGGGGCAGCCCCCGCCCTCTCGGGGATTACCTTCTGCTGCTTAAAATCCTGCAACGAGGTGCTCAGGCAGACCCTGCCCAAGCTGGGGCAGGGGCGGCATTGCTCTTGGCACTGAGTTCAGAGACAAGCTCAGGGCCTGAGCCAACATATGGGAGGACCTACTGTGCGCCTGGCTCTTTGGAGCAACTGCATATGGCTGACACATGGCTCAGAAACTCGACTATACCAAAAGCTGCAGAGACCTCACCCTGTGTCACCCAGGTGGAATATGTGTGTTGGCACAGACAGTGAACGGTACCTGGTCGTTCAGTGGAATCCCTCTTCCCATCTTCACTCGATTCTCCTCCGGGTGGTAGTCGTCAGCGTCATAGAATTTCCATCCCAGCTTCACAACAGTGAAAGGATACGTGTATGTGGCAGGCAGTTGGGCCCCTGCGACAGCCACTGTGGGGTTGCTAATACTAACGGGTAGGTGTGGAAACAGTCCCACCCCTCTCGGTCCCCATCAGCCCCAAGGACAACCCCCAGCAGCGGAGAGCCTTGTCATGCCAGTTCACAGTCCCCGTGGCTGGGCTGCTGCAGTCCCTTCATTTACTCATCACTATTTGTAATCACCAAGGGGAAAACCAAATTGCTCCAGTGGGCTCAAAGCCATGTGGAGGTGTCTATCCAAAGTACTACAGCCCAGAGAAAAGGAGAGAAGCGAGAAGAACACAATGGCACGTGTGCTGAGGGGGCATTAGAGCAGGTTACCTCGGATGCCAGCAGGGCGCCCACGGTCGATCTGTTGAGAGGGCACAGGTGTTTCCATTACCTGGGTGTCCTCGTGTGACAATTCCTTCCACACTAGAACACCCAGAAAAGAGACTGCCCCAACCAGTATTGAAACACCAAATCCCCATGTGATCCTAAAGCAGTGATGATCTTGACCCTGGAGTCTAGAAATTGGGCCTTAGCTGTCCTCCAGGAATGGCAATGAAGAAATAAGCCAGCTACCACTATTTCTATTTCAAAAGGCAATATATAAGATCTCATTAACCCCCTGAAGTTTTTTCTTCAATAATCAGTTTTTTGGTCCCTGTTGCATAGATGTTTATTTTTTTGGGGAAAATACTGAATAAGATGATAAAATTCTATTGAGGATATCCAATAAGAGGGGTCTGATGGAAGATTTTACCTCTGGCAGCACCCCACACAAAGTTCAGGGGACTCAAAAAAGCATACAAACATCGCCTGGGGTTTAAGACATACTCTTAAAGGACGTGGGTTAATGACTGAAGAACTACCAGCGCTTGTTAAGGTTGGGAGTTAAATGTTCTCTGTGCCAAGCATCTGCTGACAATCTGTTCGTGCCCTAACAGGCCGCACGTGCTAGTGAAAAGGGTTCGGGTCTCAGAACTGGAGATTGGGGCCATAGTCGCCTTCTGCCGCTAAATGACTGTGCTCCTGGGCAAAGCACCTGTTCCTCTAAACCTCAGTTTTCCCACCTGCAAAACAAGGGATCAGAGCTGCATGATGTACCTATTCACCTCATTTCATGCAGCCAATCTTTATCGAGCACGTCTAGCTCCCACGATATAACGGTGAGCCCACTGAGACACAATCTCAGCCATCTCGAGGCGTGCAGTCTAGCATTATAGGTAGCGGTGGAGGCCGGAAGACAGTGACAGAAGTGCTTTCTTGTTCGAAATTTCTAAAATGTTGCCCAAGCTCCAATTACTTAGGTGCCGCCTTCTTAATTTTTACTCTATCCTCATGATGTTTCATCATGCACTCTCTCTGAAGTCTTGCATACCACCTCTACAATTACTTGCTCGATATTTTTATTTAATTGCTTCACTTTTAAAAATTAAATAAGTGTTAAAGAAGGGAACTCCCTTTCCATCCCTTATACAAGAAGCTACCATCACTTGCCTTACATAGAAAGTAACCCAAAAGGTGTATACAAAGAAAACAAAACAATGTGATTAAATTCTAGCTGGCTACTATTGCCTAGCAAGGGTCCTGTCTCTCTTTTGCTGGAAAGGTATCAGAAAGGCGTTAAGGACACACGTGTACCAGGCTGAGACCCTGAGACCTGCTCCTTCATGTAACCAAAGGATTGAAAGAGCACTGAAACATTGCTCATTACGTTCATTCTACTGAAGGCTGCAAAGGGAGACATACTGCAGCTTACTGATGGATAAACCCTCCCGGCCCAAATGCATGGCTGGGGACGCCAGAACTCTGCATAACAGAAATCACACTTAAGACCAAGTTAGACTAGCTGTGAATGATTGTGCCAGCCACCACCCATAATTTAAAAGTAGAGCTCCATAGATTTGGGTGTTGACTGTCAGGAAGGAGACAGGAAAAGAAAGCCACTGTCTGCTGCTCTATCCAAATCTCCCAAACCACAGAACACCTGGAATACGCACCAGGGGCCCTGGCTGAAATAACGAACAGAAAGAACTTGGCTTATAGGAGCCTGGTCAGACCCAAGCCTTATAAACCAAGGCTTGGAGTCCAAATGTCTCCCACTGAGTTGGTCTAAGTCAGGAGCAAGGGACTTATAAAGACTGGAGGCCAGTGGAGGAGAGGGAAGGGATGCAGAATAAATGAGAAAAATATTCCAAAGATGAGAGCTTGTTCCAACAGTGGAGAGAAGGAAACCTAGAAAGAGATGCTGAGGGTGGGCCCCGAAAGTGGTTCATGAAAGTCACCAAAGAACTCAATGTTGCTACATCCAATGATCAATATAATCAAGTCTCAGTCTTTTTATTACTCAGCTAGTCAGCACCATTTGACACATCTCCCTGATCTTCAACCATGGCTCAGTCCTTGGACAGCTTCTTTACACTCACTCTTTTGGAGACCTCAACATCTTAGATCTTTAAATACATTCATGTACCAATGATGCCCATATTTACATCTGAAGTCTCTCCTCTGACTGCTGGACTTGGATATCCAACCATGCCCTTGACAAATCCACTTGATAACTGATTGGCACGTGCAACATATCCCATATTGAGCTTCTAAGATTTTCTTCCAGATCTGCTCTATCTACAGCTTCCCATCTCAGCGCATAGCAACTCCTTTCTTCCAGCTACCCAGTCCTAAAATCCCGAACCATCCCTGATGCCGCTCTCCCTCTCTCATACACCACACTTGGTCCACAAACACATCTTTTTGATACTACCTTCAAAATAGCTGCAGCACGGGGCCATTTCTCTCCACCTGCGCTGTTTCTCTGGCCTCATCTCCATCATTCTTCCCCTCACTCAGCCAGAATGGCCTCCTTGCTGGTCCTTGAAAAGCCAAGCCTCAGGACCTTTGAACTTGCCATTCCCTCTGCCTATTATGACCTTTGTCCAGCAGCCACATGGCTTAGTCCTGAGGTCCCCAACCCCCCGGGCTGCAGCCCATTACTGGTCCACAGCCTGTTAAGAAACAGGTTGTGCATGACCACCTGAGCTCTGCCCACCCTCAACCCCAATTTGCGTAGAAAAATTGTTTTCCATGAAACCAGTCCTTGGTGCCAAAAAGGTAGTCCCTCAATTCTTGTGGGTCTTTGCTCAAATACTAATTCCTCAAAGGGGGTCTTCCCTGACCACCCTGCCTGGCACTCTTTTTTCCCCTTCCCTTCCTTTATTTTTCCCTAGATCATCTGTCACTAACTGGCACACTTTGTATGTATTTATTCATGTACTCTTTGTCTCCCGTACTAGAATGTAAACTCTTTGAGGGCAGATATCCATCTGTTCTGTTCACTATATGACAGTGACATAGAGGAAGGATTGAGCTCGATGACCAGTTACTGAATACATGAATATCACAAGCTGTAAACCACACGGCTTAGACCACCCCCATCTGATCCAAGGCTCAGAGGAATACATGAATTGCCCGAGCTCACACAGAACCAAGCCCTAGGAGTCTTAGATTTCTAATCACACCATGGCAACAGTTTTACACTCTCTGATTTCTTCAAATCATACAACAGCTAGGAATTTGGGGGCTCTACGTTTTATTTCAATTTAAGATTTCTTGTCTTTGAGGCTAAGAATCCCATAATAATTTTTGAAAACGAAACCCACCCATTTGGAGTAAGAATTGTTTGGGCTCAGAAAACAATAACTCAAAATGAGGGCTTCAGCAGCAACCTCAGAAACAAAAGTTTTTCTCTGGGCTTCTTGTGCTCAGGATCCTACCTGTCAGTCCCATCTCCTCAGAGGCTAGCCACAGAAACCAGAATCCCTCTTCCCCAAGGCAGGTCATAGAAACCAGAACGTCTTTCTTCTAAAGCCAGCCATGAAACCTAAAATTATTCTGTAAGAACTTGCTATAAAGAAATGATCTGACCTAGCTTGTTTGACTATAGGTCATAAGGTCCCCATTCCAGAGAAGGTCCTGCCCCACCCGTAGAAGGAAGGAATGCTGCTCAGAGAGGACAAGAAGGGTCTAGAGAGACAGGCCATGCTGGGTTTTCCCCACTGGGTTTTGTCCAATCATATTTCTACAAGGCTGTCTATACTTTACTGAACCTAAGCATAAAAATGGACAATTTCCCCTATATCTTTGGGTATAAATTCTGAATGCTCCCGTATATACATTTAAAAAAAATTTTTATCATTTTTTTTTGTCTCCCCAGCTGTGTGAACCTGTATACATATTAAATAAATTTACCGTATGCCTTTTCTCCTATTAGTCAATCTGCCTGTGATCTTTCAGCAAAACTTTAGGGGGCCAAGGGCTTTGGTCCTTACAGAGTCTTTAATGTACACCTGAGTACATGGGCAGCTCTTGATTCAGAAAACTCTAGAAAGGTACTATAGGCCTTTGAGGGTTATGATCTTTTAGTTGATGAAGTTCTGTCTCTTGCTGTCTGTAGTTGAATGGTACAGTAGCTATCTTTTCTGATAAAGGGCACAGTTAGATTTGGGTCTAATCAGGAAGCCAAAGGCCAACTTCCCAGTCCCCAAGTTTGCCAGACAGCGCTGGGTGGAACCTGTGTGATTTCCAGAATTCTCTCTCTCCCTTCCAAACCCCCAGGAGCCACCGTTCACAGTGGCACGGTCTCCTTCTAGTTTAAGCTGATAAACGCTGATCAAAGAAAGCAGGAAACAATAGACAAGACGGTTAAATCCACTTTCCAAAATCTAATCAGAGAAGTGCGGGCCCTGACCGGAGGGGGCGGGGGCAGCCGATTGCGCAGCCGCATCGCGGCAAGCGCCTGGGACGCGGTTCGCCTCCCGTCTTTGCCCCTGCACCTCCCACCAGGTTCTGGGAAGACGCCCCGAAACCCGAGCACGTGCGGCCGCGCGCGCCACCGTAGGTGCTGAGCGGGACGGCCGTTCCCACGCCGCCAGCCTCCCGTTCTCTCGGCGCCCCCGCAGGCGCCTCACTGCAAAGGGCTTTCCCGGCCCGGCTGGAGTGGGGAGGAGGAGCAGGTGCCGCGAGCCGCGGCTTCCTCGCCTGCGAGGGAAGGTGGGGCCTCCCCAGGGCCACCCCCTCCCGGGCAGCCCGCGCCCCCGTCCTCCCGGACCTACTTCCCCGAGCCGCTCACGCCCATCACCAGCAGCGCGCCCGGCGCCGCCATGGCCCAGCCCGGCTCCGCCATGGCCCAGCCCGGCTCCTTCCCGTCGCCTTCCGGCCCGCCGGCCCGGCCTTCCCGAGGGCGGGGCGTCCTCCCCACCTCCCAATCCCCCTCCTGCCCGAGCCGTGAGCCCAGCCGCCTCCCCACCCTCCCTATCTCCCAGCCTCTCTGCGCCCTCCCCGCCTCCCCAACCCCGCTCCTCGCCGAGCCCTGCGTCCCGCGCCCTCACCGCCTCCCCAACCCCCAGCCCTGCGCCCCGCGCCCTCCTATAGACCTCCCGGCGCCCTCCCCACATCCTCCCCACCTCCCCGCCTCTCTGCTCCCTCCCCAGTGCGGTCCGCACCCTCCCACCTCGCCGCCTCCCTGCGCCCTCCCGCCCTCCCGACCTCCCCCACCCTCGCGGCCTCATCTGCGCCCCTCCCCCGCGCGGCCTTGCCCTCCCACCTACCCGGCTCCCCGGCTCCCCGCGCCCCTCCGCTCCGCCCGGAAGTGCAGCGCGCACCCGGGTCCCCACCTGGCGGTGTCCTCCTCCTGGCCTCTCTCGCTTGCAGGGGAATCTCCCCTTGCCCTGGGAGGCCCTCATCCACCCATGGAAACAGCATTCATTCATTCATTTATTTTATAGATAGAATATGTTCTTGTAGAAAGCATGAACAAAAATAAACTCACACTTTCTCATAGCCAGGCAGCAATATAGCAGCTCTTCCTTAACGACCTCCGTTTCTCGTGTATGTAGACAGGTATGAATATTTTATGAAATTGGGATCGGGCTGTACCGTGTTCTGTAAGCTGCCATTTGTCAACAGTAACATGCCCGGGACATCTTTTGGTGTCAAATCCAGGGATGACCATCTATCAGGATGGCATATGGCTGCATGGCTTGCCTATTTAATCCCGGTTTGGGTGGGGACGTTTCTTAAGAGGAAGGAGCACTCCTTTAAAGTGCCCATTTGCTTTAAAACAATGTGTTATATTATGGGTCATTTAAAGCATTTGATTAAAAGCACATCTAAAGACATTTTGCATCACCTCCTTTGGTATTTTGTTAAACCAAGTTTGTATTACTCTGTGCCCTAGAAAGCAATAAAAGTGACATAAAACTATTCATCTAATGAATATTTCAATTACCCTTTCACTGACTTTGTTTTTTTTTTTTTCATCCCCTTAGCCTGAAGTAGGTGAGACTTCAATCTGGATAGGGGTGGTGCAGATGAAGAAATTGAAGCCGGGAGAGACAAGTCTTAACAGTTCAGTTATGGTGAAGAGACATTTCTTGAGCAGGTACCATTCACAAGTTGATATAATATTAACATTCATTAAAAGGTCAAATATTACCCTCTAGGCACTGCCAGACCCATAAGAGGAGTAGGTGTGTAAGCAAATGCTGTAACTTGTGCTTTATTTTACCAGCTCTATACAAAAAAGGTTCATAGTTCTTTCAATGTTCAAATCAGAATGATTAACAGAAAGTCTGGTTCTTCTCCCTGGGTTTTCCTTCCAAGATACGTCCAAGGATTTCAAATTCCCTGTAGTTGTCAGGATGGTGGCAAGAAACAGCACGCTCAAGTTGGGTCACTTGAACAGGATTTAACAAAGGGACTATTCACAGAGAGGTTGGTAGGGTCAGAAGCAGCAACAAGGGGCAGTGTCCTAGTTTTAGTAACTGAGGGGAGGTGTTTTCGCCTTTCCTTATAAAGAGGTGATGAGAGGGAGCCTTTATGGGACGGGAGAAGAGGAGAGAGAGAGAGAGACAGAGCGAGCACGCTGTATGGAGAGAGGTGTCTCTGTCGCCTTAGGAAGAGAGACAGATATCCCTCATTGACCCAACAGAGAGGGAATCAGGAGAAAAAATAACCTCCCCTCCCCTCACCTCCTCTTCCCCTCTGATCTCATACTAGTGGCCAAACCCCACTTGCCAAACCCAATTGGAACGCAGAGAGCTAGGGAGTTGAAGTGGCCTGTACATGCCAGTCTCCCAGGGAACAGAGCAGGGAAGAGAAGGGTAGGAAGTGTATTTGGAGAAGCAAATGAAAGATACCCAACGCTTTTGCTCGTCTGTTAGTGAAATCCCCCTGTGCTTCCTTCCAGGACATCGGAACTAAAGAAGTGCCTCTAAAAGCTGAATTCCATATTTTTTGGTTTCCAGAGAGTGCCACCTGCTGGTCCTAGTAGTTCCAGTGTTTCCTGGCTGTCACTAATAGGCAACCTGAGGCTGGCTGGGTATTGGTCTGATATTAGGTCCTGTCTGTCTGCTGCAAGAACTGTTTGCTAAGGCACGTGGTGCCCTGGAAACCCCAAGAGTCCTGGGTAAGACACAGCTTCCTGTATGTGTTACTATAGTGACCCACGTCCAAATCACCCCCTCCCCATTCGGGACAGCCTGCACTGTAATCCAGTAATGGTGGCTGTGACAAGGGTCCTGCATGAAGCTGCCCACTTCACAGGGGTTAGATGGGGCCCAGTGGGGAACACTTGCTCTTAATGCACACAGGCATTTCCCTGGGGAGCAAGTCAGCTACAAAGATGGCTGAGTAGGGGCAGATATTCACGTAAAAGAAGCCTCATAGATCTGACATGTTTCATTGAGAAGTTGGGTCTGTACCTTTTCCCTTCCAGGAGAATCCTTGATCCCAGTTTAACTCTAAGTATTCAAATAGATACATGGGAGAGCTCCACAGGTCTTAGCCAAGCTCCAAGGTAACCTGTTACACTTTCTTCTAGAAATAATGGCTGTATACTGGCTTCACATCTTCATAACTAAAAAGAGCCCAGAACAAAGTTTTCACAAAGGCAAAATGATACCTGTTATTTTAATAGAGACAGAAAAAGCATTTGACAAAATTCAACATCCCTTTGTGAACAAAATGTTCAACAAACTAGGAATACAAAATTCTTTATCTGACAAAGAGTATCTATGAAACTCCCAGCTAACATCAGACTTAGTGATGAAAGACTGAATGCTTCTCTCTATGATTAGGAACAAGCAAGGAATGTCTACTCCTACCAGTTCTTTTCAACATTCTGCTAGAGGGTCTAGCCAGGGCAATTGGATGACAAAAAGAATAAAAGGCATCCAGTTGGAAAGGAATACATAAAACGATCTCTATTTCCAGATGATATGATCTCATATATTGAAAACCTAAGGAATCCACAATAATCCTATTAAAGCTAATAAATAAATTCTGCAAAGTGTCAGGCTACAAGATCAATACACAAAATCAATTGTAGTTCTAAATAAGCTGAAAATGAAGTTAAGAAAAAATTTCATTTATAATAGCATCAAAAAGAATAAAATAATTAGAAATTTAATAAAAGAAGCACAAGATTTGTATTATGAAAACTATAAAACAAAAGAAATTAAGGAAGGCCTAAATAAATAGAAAGACATCATGTATTCATGGTTTGGAAGACTTAAAATTTTTTTGAGATGGCAACACTCCCTAAATTGTTCTACAGATTCAATGCAATCCCCGTCAAAATCCCCGCTGACTCCTTTGCAGAAATTGACAAGGTGATCCTAAAGTTCATATGGACATTTGAAGGATATAGAAAAATCTTGAAAAGGAGCAAAATTGGAGGATTCACATTTCCCAATTTCAAAACTTAACTATTCCTATATACTTATAAAGACAATGTGGTACTGGCATAAGGACAGACATAGAGACCAATAGAATAGAACTGAGAGTCCAGAAACAAACTGATACTTTTGTATGGGAAATTGATTTTCAACAAGGGTGCCAAGACAACTCAATGTGGAAAGAATAGTATTTTCAACAAATGATGCTGGAACAAATGGATATCCACATGTGTAAGAATAAAGTTGACTACTATTTCACAGTATATACATACAAAAAATGACTCAAAATGGATCAAAAATCTAAATATAACAGCTGAAACTAAAAAACTATTAGAAGAAAACATAGGCATAAATCTTTGTGAATTTAGAATAGGCATTAGTTTCTTAGATATGACAGAAAAGCACAAGCAATACAAGAAAAAATAAATAAACTTGACTTTATCAAATTTAAAAACCTTTGTGCTGCAAAAGGTGCCATTAAGAAAGCAAATGACAGCTACACAATTGGAGAAAGCTTTTGCAAATCACATATCTGATAAGAGACATATATCTGAGTATATGAAGCACTCTTACAACTCAATAATCAAAAGACAACCTAATTAAAAATGGACAAAGGGTCTGAATAAACATTTCTATGAGGAAAACATACAAATGGAAAATAAGCACTTGAGACTATGCTCAATTATCACTAGCACATCAGGAAATACAAACCAAAATGACAATAAGATACCACTTCAGACTCACTAGGATGACTATAATAAAAAAGATAGATGGTAATAAGTGTTGGCAAGGTTCTGGAGAAATTAGTACCCTCAGGGGTTGCTGGTATACAACTTTGAAAAACAATTTGGCAGTTCCTCAAATGTTTAACATAGAGTTACTATATGATGCAGTACTTTCACATCTAGGTATAATACATGCTCAAGAGAAATGAAAACATATGTCAACACAAAAACTTGTTCATGAGTGGTCATAGTAGCACTATTCTTAATAGCCTCAGACTAGAAACAACCCACATGATCATCAACTGATGAATGAATAAATAAAATGTGGTAGATAAAATCAATATATATATATACATTTTTATTTAGCAATAAAAAGAAATGAAGTATGGATTCCTTTTAGTATTAATACATGCTAAAACATGGACAAATCACGAAAACATTATGCTAAGTGAAAGAAGACAGTTACAAAATGTCACATATTCTATGGTTTCATTTACATGATATGTCCAGAATAGGCAAATCTATAGAGATAGAAGGTAGATTAGTAGTTGTCAAAGGTGGGAGGATGGCTGTTGGAAGAAAGTGGAGAGGAAATACCAATGGATATTGAGTTTCTTTTTGGAATGATGAAAATGTTCTAAAACTGATTATGGTGATGATTGCACACCTCTGTGAATATACTGAAAATCATTATATTGTATACTTTAAGCAGGTAAATTTTATGGTCTGTGACTTATATCTCAATAAAGCTGTTAAAAATAAAGACAATTACAGATCTATTGGGCAGCAGCAATCAGAAAACGAAATTTATAAACAGATGCTATTTATAATAGCACTAAAGTGAGTTGGAAATAAGTCTAGCAAAAGGTGTGCAACGCTTTGAACCTCCTCTATGAAGAAAATTATAAAACTTTTAGAGACATCAAAGACCAAGTAAATGGTATACCTGAGTCTTGATAGGTAGATTTAATATTGTAAAGATGTCTGTTTTCTCAAAAATTGATCTAATGATTCAATGCATTTTCAATCAAAATTCTAATAAGATATTTCATGAAGACTCATAAACGTAATCCAAAATTTATATAAAAATGCAAAGGGAATAGAACAGAAAACAAATTCCTGATGAAGAAGAATGAGGTGGGAGGAATATTTCTACCAGATATTAAATTTTGTTATAACATTATAGTAAAACACACAGTGTAGTACTGGCCTAGGGATAAACATACAGACCAATGGAACAGAATAGAAATCCCAGAGACCCATCAATACATTGATACTTACTATTTGAGAGAAGTGGCATTGCAGATTAATGAGGAAGGATGGAGTCCTTAATAAATGATACAAGCACTGGTGATTATTCATGTGGAAAAATATGAAATTGGATTTCTAACTGTATCTATTAATTCTTTGATGTGTAACAAACCTCTACAAAGGTAGAGATTTAAAAAAAAAAACCCAACCATTTATTTAGGTCTTCTTTCTAAGGGTCACCAATTTGGCTGAGCTCAGCTGAGTGGTTCTTCTGGTCTTGACAGGGCTTGTTCACGCATCTGTGGTAAGCTATTAAATCAGCTGGGGATTGACTTGCCTGGGATGGCTTTATCCTCATGGTTTCTCATCTTCCAGCAGGTTAGTCTGGGATTATTTTTGCTCCACATGGTTTCTCATCTTCCAGCAGGTTAGCCTGGGCTTATTAACATGGTAGAGGAAGACTTCCAAGAGATCAAGGATAACTGTTTCTTTTTCTTTTTTGTCCATTTTATTTTATTTCAGCATATTATGGGGATACAAATGTTAAGGTTACGTATATTGCCCATGCCCCCCCATCCTCCCTCTGCTGAGAGCTTTAAGTGTGACCATCCCCCAGATGTTGCATATCTCACTCATTATGTTTGTATATAGCCATCCCCTCTTCTTCCCAACACCTGATAAATGTTATTCCTATATGTCCACTTAGGTGTTGATCTGTTAATACCAATTTGCTGGTGAGAACATATGGTGTTTGTTTTTCCATTCTTGAGATACTTCACTTAGTAGAATGGGTTCCAGCTCTATCCAGGAAAATACAAGAGTGCCTATATCACCATTGTTTCTTAAAGCTGAATAGTACCTCATGGATTACAGATACCACATTTATTAATCCACTCATGTATGATGGGGCACCTGGTTGTTTCCATACCTTTGCAATTGTGAACTGTGCTGCTATAAACATTCGAGTGCAGGTGTCCCATTCTAGAGTGTCGTTTGATCTTTTAGGTAGATGCCTAGTGTGAATTGCTGAACAAATGGTAGATCTACTTGTATCGCTTTAAAATATCTCCATATTGCTTCTCCACAGAGCTGAACCAGTTTGCAGTCCCACAGCCGTGTAGAATGTTCTTGTCTCTCCACATCCATGCCAGCATTTATTGTTGGGGACTTTTGATAAAGGCCATTCTCATCTGAGATAAGTGAGATCTCAATTGCAGTTTGATTTGCATTTTCCTGATGATTAGAGATGTTGAGCATTTTTCATCATATATTTTTGGCCATTATTCTGTCTTCTTTTGAGAAGTTTTCTGTTCACGTCCTTTGCCCATTTTTGATAGGTTTTTTGATTTTTCTGCTGCCTTTCCTGATTCTGAATAGATTCTAGTGTTATCAGCCCTTTATCAGATGTGTGCTTTCCGCTCCCATTCTGTGGGTTGTCTGTTGCTTTCTTGACAGTTCTTTGGCTGTCAGAAGCTTTTTAATTTATCAGGTCCTATTTGTTTACTTTTATTGCTGTTGTGATTGCCTTTGGGGCCTTTCTTCAAATTCTTTGCCTAGGCCAATGTCCTAGAATAGTATTTGCCAACATTTTCCTCTAGAATTATAATAGTTTCACACCTTAAGGTTCAAGTCTGCCTTACCCAGCCGTGAGTTGATTTTGCTGAAGAGGTGAAGGTGTGGATCTTGTTTTAGTCTTCTACTGTGCTATCCAGGTTTTCTCAGCACCCGTTTATAATAAGGATTCTTCCCCATGTATGTTTTGTCTGCTTTGTCAAAGATAGTTGGCTTATTGAGGATTTTTATATCTGTGCTCTCGGTTCTGTTCCACTGGTCAATTCCCTGTTCTTTGCCAGTCCAAGCTGTTTAATGCATAGCCCTTGTGCAAAGTTTGAAGTCTGGTAATTGATATCTCCTATTTGTTTTTATTGCCTAGATGATTTTGCTATATGGGTCTTCTCTGTTCCATTCAAAGCATACATTATTTATTTTTGTATTATACGTGTGAAATTTCATTTGATGATGATTTTTTTATAGTAATTTGCATTTTGCTCTATAGTCCTGTTGGTATATAACATTTAACAATTTATTCTGCGACCCATGAGCGTGGTATATTCTTCCACTGTTTATGCCTCTGATACTCTTCAGTGTTCATATTATTCCTGTAGAGTCTTTACCCTATTAATATATTCCAAGTATTATTTTCGTTGCTATTTTAAGTATATGAGTCTTTGATTGTTCTCACTATGTGTGGATATAGAATGCCTTGATTTGTTATATTTATTCCTGAGGCTTTACCAAATGATGTCAGCAAGAGTCTCTTGGTAATCTTAGGTTTCTAGGTATAGTATATGTCACCAGCAAGAGTGAGAGTTGATCCCTCTGCCCCATTGGAGGACCTAATTCCCCTCTCTTGTTCGATTGCTGTAGTGAGGACTTCTAGCACTATGTGAATAGAAATGGAGATGGTGACAACTTTGCTCTTGTTACCATCTACAGTGGAATGCTTCAATTTTCCCCATCATATGATACTGGCGTGGATTTCATTATGCTTGTATCATTTTAGTAAGCCCCCATCTATGCCTATTTGTGAGCTTCTTATCATAAAGGGTGTTGTTTGCAAATCTTTCTCTGCATCTATTAGAGGATCATATTCTTTGCTTTGCTTCTGTTATATGGGAATTACATTTATAAGGGATTTTGCATAGTTGAACCATTCCCCCGCATCCCTGGATAAGCCCCACTTGTTGTGATGGATATTCTGAAAGCACCTGATCGATGGCTATAGGATGTTAGAATTCAATCTAAATTATAAGATGGTCTATTTTTCTTTTTGTATACTTACTGGTCAGTATCAGTATTCCGTCGTTATTGTCGCTCATAAATTTGAATTGGAGATGATTCCATCCTTCTCGGATGTTGAATAATTTCTGCAGGATTAGAACCAATTCTTACTCATAATAAAATTCATATCTCCACTGTCTATAATTTAGTAAAGTTTTTATTGCTGTTTCCAATTCATACTGATATGGTCTGTCAGAATCTGTATTCCGGGTTGAGCCTAGGGACTGCTATGTGTCTAATATATCATATTCTTTTACATCCGTTGTTGCATAATGGTTGTTTTTTATTCATATATATGTTTGGTTTTCTCATGCATCAGTGATCTCCTTTATTTTAGAGCTTATTAGAGATTTCTTTTCTGCTTTTTGTTAGTCGCCATGAGGTGGTGTCAATTTTGTTTATTTTTCAAAGAAACAACTTTTTGTTATTAATCTTCCGATGGTTTCCCTGTTGTCAATTGTAGTTGTGATTGATCTAGATGATTGAGAGACGTTGTAGGGTCAGAAGCAGCAACAAAGGCAGTGTCTGGTTTTAGTAACGAGAGGAGGTTTTGCCTTTCGTTATAAAGAGGTGATGAAGGGAGCCCTTTACGGGACGGAGAGAGGAGGAGAGAAGAGACAGAGCGACACGCTGTATGGAAGAGGTGTCTCTTGCGCCATAGAGAGAGAGACAGTACCCTCATTGACCAACAGAGAGGGAATCATGAGAAAAATAACCTCCTCCCCTCCCCTCCCTTCCCCCTCTGATCTCATACTAGTGGCCAACCCCACTTGCCAACCAATGGAAAGCAGAGAGTAGGATGAAGGCTATCATGCCAGTCTCCCAGGGAAACAGGGCAGCGAAGAAGGTAAAAAATATTTCAGAGAACCAAATGAAGATACCTACGCTTACTCATTAGTTGCTGAGCCCTCTGTGCCTCCTTCCAGAAATCAGAACTCAAAGAGGTGCGCTAAAAAGCTGGTTCCATAATTTGTTTCCAGAGAGTGCCACCTCCCTGGTCCTGGTAGTTCCAGTGCTTCCTGGCTGTCACTAATACACCTGAGGCTGGCTGGGTATTGGTCTGATATTAGTCTGTCCTGTCCTGCTGCAAGACTGTTTGCTTAAAGCACATGCGCACCTGGAAACCCCGAGAGTTCTGGGTTGACCACCTGTGACGCAGTAAATCACCCCCCCCCCCGTGATTCAAGACAGCCTGCATGTCAATCCTGCCAGTAACTGGGCGTGACAAGGTCTGCATGAAGCTGCCCATTCAACAGGGTTAGATTGCCCAGGGGAACACCTGCTCTTTACCACAGCATTTCCTGGGCGAAGCAAGTGCTACAGAGATGGCTGGAGTAGGGCAGCTATCAACGTACAAAGAAGCCTCATAGATTGACATTTTCGTTGAAACTTGGGTCTGCACCTTTTCCTTCCAGGAGCAATCCGGCCTCAAGTAATCTAAGATTCAAATAGATACTGGGAGAGCTCCAAGGTATCCTACCAACTCCAAGGTACCTGTTACATCTTCTAGAATAATGGCGTATGTATACTGCTTCACATCTTCATAATAAAAAGACAGAACAAAGTTTTCAAGGCAAAAATCCGTTATTTTAATCAGAGACGAAAAGCATTTGACAAAATCTCAAACATCCTTGTGAACAAAATGTTCAACAAACTAGGAAACCAAAATTCTTTATCTGACAAAGAGTTCTATAAACTCCAGCTACATCAAGACTAAGTGATGAAAGACTGAAGCTTCTCTCTATGATTAGCGAACACCAGCAGGAAACTGTCTACTCCTACAGTTCTTTCAACAATTCTGCTGGAGGTTTTCAGCAGGCAATTTGGAGACAAAAAGAAAAAGATCCCGTTGAAGGATATCATAAAACACTCTCTATTTCCAAGATGATATATTCATTATTCGAAAACACTAAGGAACCACAATAATCTATTAAATCTATAAAATAATTCGCAAGGGGAGCTACAAGATCAATACACAAAACAATTGTCAGTTCTACAATAAGCTGAAATGAAGTTAAGAAATTATTTAAATAGCATCAAAAAGAATAAATATAGAATTAATAAAAGAGCACAAGATTGTAGTACTGAAAACTATAAAACAAAAGAAAATTAAGAAGCCCTAAATACAATAGAAAGACATCATGTATCATGGTTTGGAAGACTAAATTATTTTTTGAGTGGCACACTCCTAAATTGTCTATCAGATCAATCCCCGGTCAATAACCAGCTGATCCTTTGCAGAAATGAAAGGTGATCTCTAATTCTATGGAGCATTTGAAGGATATAAGAAAATATCTGAAAGGAGCAATGGAGGATTCACATTTCCAATTTCAAAACTTAACTATCCTATATATATAAGAGACAAATGTGGTACGGCATAGAGAGACATGAGACAATAGAATAGAACTGAGAGTCCAGAAATAAACTCATACCTGTTATGGGAATGATTTTTCAACAAGGTCA